GTGGGTCACTTATCCATGGGGTACAGTCCTTCAGGCACAGGCTACTCCAGCGTGGGTACCCCACAAGGCTACAAGTCCTACCAAGAATACCTGCTCCAGCGTGGGCTCCTCTCTCCATGGGTCACCAAGTCCCAGCCAGGATCCTGCTCCATCCTGGGCCTCCCACGGGGTCACAGCCTCCTTTGGGTATCTGTCTGCTCCATCATGGGCTTCTCCATGGGCTGTAGGTGGATCTCTGTGCTCCCGTGGTCCTCCATGGGCTGCAGGGGGGCAGTTGCTCCGCCATGGTCTGCACCATGGGCTGCAGGGCAACCTCAGCTCTGGTACCTTAAGCACCCTTTCCCCCTCCTTCTCCACTGACCTTGGTGTCTGCAGAGATGTTCACATGTTCTCATTCTGCTCTTCTCTGGCTGCAATTTTCAACTGCACAACAACTTTTTTTTTTTTCCTTTTTCAATAAGTTATTACAGAGATGTTACTATCATCCCTGATTGGCTCGACCTTGGCCAGAGGTAAGTCCATCTTGGAGCTGTCTGGCATTGACTCTGCTGGATATGGGAGAAGCTTCTGGCAGCTTCTCACAGAAGCCACCCCTGTAGCACCCCTGCTACCAAAACTGCCCAAGCAAACCAGATACAACTTCATGCAAATCCTGTCATACTAATTTTCAAGCCTCTTGTGGTCTACCTTCGTGGTAATTCTTTTTTTCAGTGTTTCTACCTCTCCTCCCTGTTTTGTATCATCTACAAACTTGATGAGGGTGCTTTCAATACCATTTTCCAAACTGTTTATAAAGATATTGAGTAGTATCAGGTCTAGGACTGACCTTTGAGGTACTCAGTTCACAGCAAGATGCTAATCTGTCCTTGAACTGTTAACTACTGCTTTCCAAGATTAATATCTTTGCCAGTTCTCCACCTGTCCAGTCCTCCATCTGTCCAGTCCTTATCCTTCCAAATTGTCATCAAGGATGTTGTGAGAGACCATGTTGGTCACCTTGTTAAGGCTCACAGAGATTGGTCTTTATGAAATGTCTCTTCATATGTCATTCTTTTTGTTAGTGAAAACACATAAGCATTGAACTTGATTAAGTCATTCAGGAGTGACATTTCATAGTCTGTGTATTACAGAAGGTCAGAATTAATGTGCAAAATTGTTCCTTTGGCTTTAAAAAGATCTATGAATCAACTTTAAGAATATTGGCCTGTGTCCACTAAGCATGCAATGCTCAGGAAAACAGAAGTCACACAGCTGTCATAGGCTGTGTCATAAATGGAAAATACTGTAGTAGGATTGGGAGTCTGTGGGGTTTTTTTCTGACATAATAATTATGATGATTTAATTCTTATGTGGTGGAGAGTACTTTCATAAAATATATAAGAACTGTGTTACAGAATTTTTTTAACTTTTTTTTTTTCTCAAAATTTTGATTTTAATTACCTTTAATCTTTCCTTAGTTATTACAGCCTCTTTTGAGTTTAAATATTGCATGGGTGCAAGCAAAGCTGAAGCATTTTCTGTGGCACTAACTGCTTTTAGAAGCCAGGAAAGAAGTTGTAAGTGATCATTAAAATAAAAATCTCCATTAATGAATCTGTAATTTTCTTTTGTAGAAAAATGTCATACTTTGCCTAGCATATTTTACCGTTCATTTATCCACTCCTGACTTGTGTCATGAGGTCTGTCCTTTGATCCTTGTTTATTCTGACATTTATTCAACATCTTGATATTTTTGTAACCTCGTGGTCCAGAGTCACACTACTCAGATATTTGTCTTTCCTAGCCAGTGTGTCAGGATGAAGCAGTAACACATTACTGACAATAATTCATTCTGTTTCCAGACCCATATGTGTACATAGCATTTGACTATGACTGACTCAGAGTCTTTGCCATGGCTCCATTTGTGGTCCCTGACATGCCTAGTTATCTTGCAATGATCTTTGATTTATGAACATTGAGTATGACACTGACAGTATCCTCTGAATGTCATTGTGAGAGCTACCATTTTATGCATCAGGTAAATGAGTTTCTAGATTTGCTTAATCTTTTCTTTTCCAGCTTTCCTATTAGTTAGTTCTCTTTTTTTATTCCAGTGAAATTCAAACACTGCAAAGCATCTTTCTTACTACTGTGCATTGTCTTCAGCATTACTGAGGGAACACGAGCATGATAAATCATGTCACCACAAGTTAGCTTATACAGACATCATTTCTGGTTGATTTCAAGTTAGGTTGGATTTCCAGACAGTGATTTCCAGTTAGAGGAAATATAGTGAACTAACCCAGATAAAATAATACACTTCATTGACAGACTATATAAGTTGATTAACCAGATTGATTTGCACACAGTGAAAGAAGATGGAAACATAATGTAAATTGCAGCATCTGCTTCTAACAGTATGAATGATACAGTCATAACCACAAGAAGCAATATGTATATATTGGAATGTCATTCTCTTCAGTTCAATGTCAAATGGGCTCCTGATGCTTTTGATTGTTCTGGCTTCTTGATTTTCATCAATGACTTTGCTGAGTATTTTGCCAAACACAAGAAAACTGTTTGTGGTTGCATTTTCCTAAATCAAACTCTGGAGGTTTTTTTAATTTATTTTAAGATAAAAAAATTTTTGTTGTGCATTAAAAATATAAAAAATCCTTAGCCTATACCATTTTTCTTTGGTAAGAATTTCTGCACACTAATTAGAATTTAGAGATCACAAGTTGAAGGGCATTTTTTCTGGCATCATTTCAGCTTTTAGGGTTGGAAGAAAGCAGTGCAAAGGCATTGTAGTGTTCTGCCTATATGAGAAAACTGAGATATCTCTCTGCACTTCTGTCACCCCTTAGCTTTAGAGTGGTGAGCCATGTGCACTGATATTTTAGATTTTGTGTTCTCTTTTACAGTCTCATTAATCATGTGTAGACCTTTTTAATGTTTTTGTTTTAATTATTCCAGTAAATGAGCTGTCCTGTGCAGGAGCTTTCTCTGATTTTGTTGATGGCATTTTTTCTTTTCTATTCAATATTAGCTGTGGCTTCATCCTAGCTGATTATATCAGTCATCATAATATGAGCACTCTGTCCTTTAGAGGATATAGTATTTTTTTCACATGCTCTAATGCTTCAGTAGAGACCAACCAATTGCCCTTGCTAACATGCTTTCATGCTGGAGGTAATTCTTTTTCTCAACAAAAATCTAGAAATATGTATGTATTGCGGTTCATTCTTACTTCGTTTTTTATTACAGCTCATTTGTTTTTTTTTCTTTTTCCCCTCAATATGTGTCAGCAATGTGTATCTAACCATTTACTGAAATTGTTTTCTCTACCAATGTTTTATATTGCTCTGATTATTTATAGTGGTTAAAATATTTACTGAGATAAAGACTGTGTGACAAAAGAATTAAATACAGGTTCTTGGTAAAATTTTACAAGTATTGAAAAACCTTTTTTTCCACTCTTTCTGTATTACACGGTAATTTAGATTCCTACAGAGCTGATGTGCATTGCTTAAAGTACATTATATTACAATGCAACATTAAATGCTTGCAAGAATTATTTGATGTAAAAAGCAAGCCCTATGAGGAGAGTCCATAGCTGTCTGGTCTTCTCTATTCTATGTGTTCACAGTATATTTTGAGGAAAAATGCTTTCCCCTTTCATTGTTACTAATATCTTTTGCAGTCAGTCCCAGCCTATGTTCAGTACAGTAACAATCATATAATGTAGAGCCCTAAAAGTCTTCAGTTTTGTTAGCACTGACACTAGACTCAGTTTAAATGCTTGATTTGCTACATCCCCAGGCAGAGTGAAATAACTCTTGGATTGTGTCTCAGCAGGGGAACAATAATCTCTTTTTTCTAAATAAATGTTCTTTTTATTCCACATATACTGTTAATTCTACTCTGAGGCAGAATTTCTGGCTGTCAATCAGCTGAACTTCAGAAAGGTTTGCAGTGTCGATCTTTGTTTAGTATTTCCACCAGAGATGATGGCAGAATTATGTTTAGGGCTAACATTAAAACAGGAAAGACTCTGTAAAAAGTCTGATAATACTAGTGCTGACACTGTATTCCTACATTTTAATTGCTAGGCAAGATTTAACATTGCAGATCATTTTCTGATACATTTTGAGTTTGAAATGTTATTAAACAGATGGGACAAATATAATATAAAATGTTCAGTACTTTTAATACCTTCCGTTTATCCAGTCATTATGAGCTCTTAAGCACTGTGTATTACAAAAATGAAGGAAGGTAATTACTGAGGTGAAAAAAGGGAAGCAACTCCTCTGTAGTTACATAGCATCATTTTCTTCCAAACTACTGATGCCTTTGTCCCAGATTACTGACTCTCTTCCTACCACAACATTTCTTTGTATTCCGGGAACATTAAATCAGAAAGCACATATTCATTTTTAAGACTTTTAGTAAGCAATTTATGAAAGGCAAGCTAGCATTAGTGTGACCAGAGAAGGATACTATCTCTTACCTGAAATCTTTCTCCAAGTATTTTTGTCATGTACCATGGATAAAATGTTAGCTGCCCTCTACTTCAAAAATGTTTTCTCCATATACTGCCATCTGTAAGTGCCTTGATTACTTCGGATTGCCACACTGTGCTTTAGGTTTTCAGAACTGTTCAACTGTTCAGAACTGTTGTCAGAATCCACAGATTCTCCTGAAACACTCAATAATGTTGCTTATCTTCTCTATAGTGAAATATTTAATAGTTTTCCACATATAAAACATATAAACAACAAAAAAACAGAAAAACAACAGATATTGCACTTTTGAAAATCTGTCCAGCTGGGTTTTTTTTACACAGTGAAGATGAAAAGTACAGATGAGATGAAAGGCACAGGCACCCTTAAAAGAATGCCTTGGTAAAAACTGACAGGTAGTAAAATCTGATAAGAGAGCAATGTGCAAACTGAGAATTTGTTTTCACTCTTACAGACGTATTATTCATATTCATGTTGCATCTAATATTTGTCTTTCAGAAATCCAAAATCTCCACTTATGACAAGATGTGGGCCTTCATGAGTAGCAGGAGGCAGTCAGTACTTGTCAAAAGTAATGAAGAAGGTATCCAACGTGTGCTTACCTCTGATTATGCATTTCTAATGGAGTCAACAACCATTGAGTTTGTCACGCAGAGGAACTGTAACCTAACACAGATTGGAGGCCTTATAGACTCCAAAGGTTACGGCGTTGGAACTCCCATGGGTAGGTGATATGTCAACCGTTTATTCTCTGTTCATTAATCTTAGTTGCTGTAGTAGCATAGAAAATGTCCAGTACACTGTTTCTGTCTCTACATTGCTAACATTTTTCCTCATTCTCTTTTTCCCACCTGGGGAAAATACATATTCTGTCAATGTTTGTGGATTTTTTTGTATTTTTCAAACAGGAAAAGGTAGTTACTTTATAAAAATTAGACATTTCATATGATAAATTTCTCTTACTTGCCTTCCACATGCTCAACAACACCAAAAGTACTTTTTCACAGCACTTTATTTTATAAAAAAATGTTTTACAGATGTTGATGTTTCTCTTTAGAGAATGAGGTCCTAGTAATGCAAGGCTTCCACTAACAATTTCTTCTATAGTGAGAGGGCTAATCACTGAGGCTGTTAAGAGGAGGAAAGATTCCATACCATGTTGCAGACAAAACAAATATTGAATTATCCATGTGCAATATGGCTTTGCATGGCAATTCCAATCCTGTAAATATTTTACAATTAAAATGTTCTTTACTATGTACAAAACTTCAGTTGAAAGATTAAAAGTGAACTACATTTTGAAAGATGTGAGCTGAGGACCTGGCTTTAGATTTCAGAATAGATGGGAATAGAAAATGGTGTGACACAAAGACTGTCAGTACTGTGCAAAGAACCTACTTAATACTGCAAGATTGTTATGCTGACTTCTTTCTAAGACAAATATTTATTTAAAATTTATTTTAAATAAGAATTTATCATTTTGTGATTGATGGGAATATGCTCTTATTTTGTCTCAGGTGGCTGTTACATTGGGTACTGATTTTATCTGTGTTTATAGTATACACTAAATCATTGTAGGCGGAAAGTTGTGTCCAGTACTTTAAATCAAGCACATGGTAAAGAAGCTTAAGAAATAAACTTTACTGGAATATCTCTGATAAAGAGTTATCTAGTATCATCAAATACAGATTTAACTATATGTTGTACATGTTTACTTTTACTTTAATACCATCTTTGTAATTTTCATTATTTCAGTAATTATTTCTATGAAATGGATACCTCCTGAAGAAATTATGATTCTACTAATTCTGTCTTTGAACAGCTAGTTTTGATTCATACCAATTTTTTCACCCTGTTCTATTGTGGCTCTTGTATTACTGAACATATTCTGTAATATGTAGTGCCAGAAAGGACTGAACTTCAGTCCTGCTGCTCTTTTTGGTATCTTGTATTTTCTGATATACAAACCTTTTGTTATTTTGAGGGTGAAAACCACCTTCCATTTAGGTTTAATGTGGAGACAATAAAATCTTAGTGATAGTTTAAAATCCTTGAATAATCCACATGCCAATTTTTGAAGCAACTGAAGCATGCCCCAGAAACCTAACTGAATACGGAAATGCTGAACTGATAAGAACCAGAGACACCAAGCTACTCTAGAAATTATTTTGCTTATCTGTAAGTCAGAAAATAAACATAAGCACCAGGGAAAAAAATTTAAAACAATGACAAGTTCAGAAACAGAATTCTAGAGTTTAAGTATGGAAGATTAAAAGTTGGATGTGAAGAGTCAAGGAAGTAAGTAAATTGTCTTTTAGTTTTTGTCCCCTACCTTATTTGGGGAGAGTAGGCACTATGCATGCACTATTTCTTCACTTTGAATCATATCAAAGACATTATTCAGCTCATATTCCTCTACAAGATTCCACGTAAGTTATCTGTGTCAATAGTGTTGTACAAGGGCATATATGAGCTGACAAATGTTTTGAATCAAGATGAAAAAAAATAGAGGACATACCTGCAGGAATCAGAGATCATCAAAAGAGGTAAAACAAGAGTTGAAACAGCGTTGAACTTAGCAAAAGAAGTTGAAGTAGGATCTGAAAAAAAGATGAGAACTTCATAAAGGGAAATAGAACAGAACCTAAAATAAGATGCAAAGTAAGGCTTTTCACAAAAGAAATTAAGAGAGAACAAAACAGCATCTGGGACTTTCCCAGAACAGCTTAGTATAAGAGATTAATCCAATATTTGGGCAGTATCTGTAAAATGCTATTGAGAGAACTGACATTTATAATGGCTTTGTATCCTGTGTATTAACTTCACAGTCTCAGAGGAAAGCAATTGTGTAGCCTATGCTAGAATTATGCATAGTTCACACATACAGTTGAAAGGAAACATTATGAAGAAGCATATCCATACTGTCTGTCAGAATGGTTTTTCTTAGCTTTATTGAAGCTAAAAAGCCTTACAGAGCAGTGGATAATGCAAAATATTCTCATGCATTATAGCTAATCTCTTTCTACAAGAAAAAATAATTCTGGAGTCTTTAAAAGAACTTACGACATGGTTATGTCTACAGGAGTAGATTACATCATTATTTACTGATTAGGGAAGACATTTATAGACATACAGTTTAGTAATATCTTTTTAGAGTTAATAATCCTAGGAGTAGCTTGTCAAGTTCTTGGAAAACTGCAATGTAATGGCTTTACATGCAAAGTATACGTTATTGCTTGTGCCTAATTGGGAAGTAACTTTGAGCAAAACAATACAGAACTATTTGTGTTAGAGGCATACTATTGGGAACATATGGATATCATCTCCAAAATTTACAAGAAGTCCAGTTTATCTGATGGAATAGTGGCTCGAAATTGTAGAATTATTCTCACATAGGTTTAAATTTGTAGAATAAAGTTGTTACAGGCCTTATGTTGACTACAGTAGAAGGGATATGGTTACTTTTGGAGAACAGCACAAAAGGAAGTAGGTGCAACATATCCTGATTATTTTGAAGGCAAATAGAATAATAGTTAGTGAGAACATAATTTGCTTCAGTTTAAGTAACTAAAAGAAAAAGAACTAAAAGCTTTCCTTGCAGAGAAAGATGCTATCAGAGTAGTTTATGACAGTATAATCACCCAGAAAATACAACCACTCAAATACAGAACCAGCTTAGAGTACTGCAGTCAATGCTCTCTGCTCATGATGTTAGTGTTTTAAACTCAGAGAAAGAAAGTTGCAGAAGATAAGGAGAAAACAAGCCCAGAGGATCAGGCAGTGAGTGGGTGTCAACTCCTACCAAACAAAGTGGAGAAGCAAAATATGAGTTTACATTATTATTTTAATCCTTCTAAAAGCATTAGTGAAGTATACACAGTTTAGATTGCTAAAATGTAGCTATGATGAAGGAAACTGGAAATTATGTACTTTTGGAACAAAGTAGGATCAGCAGAATCAGTGTACATCTAAAATCAACAAGATACAGTGATGTTTAGAATATGTGCAAGACAGCATTCTGTATGATATTTTTGCAGCAGAGAAAAATAAACTATAGAGAGTGAATTTGGTAATTTGCGCATACAACGAATGATTCTCATGATACGTATTTGTAAATTAAAATAAAAGACTTGTATATACCTGAATTCATTTTCAGTCAGCCTCCTCCGGTGCTAGGCTAGAAAAAACTTGATTTATAATGAAAAGAGAAGGAAAAAGCAGACTCAGGATGAGACGTTTGATAGCAACTTATCCTTTGGAACAGATAAGGGAGAATATTTGTTTGAGTTATTTTTATCTTCCAGCAAGGGGTTTTTGTTTGCTTTATTCTGGCATGTTTTATTAGAAGGCACTATTTTTCCAGTCCTGTGTTCTTTACCAATAAATCTGGTAGATAGGAAAATTTTGCCAACATGGTTGTAATTGTCAACATTATAGTTGATTTCTGATTTCTAATATATTCTAATAATATGGATGTGTATAATGCACAGTTATCCACTAGAAAGACATATACATTTCTTTTAGTGATTGGAATTTGTCTTTGTGTGGGCATACATGTCACCATCCAACATTGATGTTCAAGGGAGGAAGGAGGGGAGGGGAGGGGAGGGAAGGAGGAAAGAAGAAAGAGAAAGAAAGAAAAGAAAAGAAAGAAAGAAAGAAAGAAAGAAAGAAAGAAAGAAAAAAAGAAAGAAAGAAAGAAAAAAGAAAGAAAGAAAGAAAGAAAAAAGAAAGAAAGAAAGAAAGAAAAAAAGAAAGAAAGAAAGAAAGAAAAAAGAAAGAAAGAAAGAAAGAAAGAAAAAAGAAAGAAAGAAGGAAAAACAAAGAAAGAAAGAGAAAGAAAGAAAAAGAAAGAAAGAAGAAAGAAAGAAAGAAAGAAAAAAGAAAGAAAAAAAAAAAAAAAAGAAAGAAAGGAAGGAAGGGAGGGAGAACAAATCCTTTGGGTATGCAGAATAACTATTGCTTTCCACTATGGATCCTCTAAAATGTTACTTATCAACTCAAGTAGTTTCAATTTCCTATTTCTTCATCCTGCTTGGTAGAGATTTTTAAAATTTGGTTTGTTCCCGAATAAAACCCAATTGGGATAAATTTACCATTGCAAAGGATTCCTAAACGTTTAGGATATATACACATGCTTATGGTCTTCCTATCAAACATAAATGGTAGAATTTTTTTAGAGCAAACCTACTCTATCCAGCAATATACATTTCATGTCAAACGGAAACATGGTTAGTGTAACTTTCCTGTGGTCAACATACTGTAAAACACAGTAATATTAAATGACAAATGCTATTTTCCATAATGAATACTTATTAAAGTGATTGTTAGTATGAAGTGAACCTCATGAAAAGCTAGAAATGTAGCTTTTGTGCACTTTATATTAAGACCTTAACAGTCTGTAAGGCTGTTTTTCACAAATATTGTTGAAATCATCTCGGGGAAAAAAACCCATGGTTTCAGGTTCTTCTTTCTTTTCAAAATTCCTATTTTTAGTCAGCATGTTTGACATCAGGCTGCTTTCCACCTGACTTGGGCAGATTTTCTAATCAATTGCCATTTGCTTTTATATTGAACCTGGAGCTCATAAATGGCTGACCAGTAAATATGTCGAACCCATTCCATATAAGTAGATCTACGGAGTCTGCACCTTTCAGATGATCTGTGTTTATGTGGCAAATGAGGACTATCCTGTATATACCAGACAAAAGTTCTGTATGTGTG